ATATATATATATATATAAACCAAACGCTATTTTGACATTTCACTTAAATTCTTGATCAAATAAGCAAATAAGAAAAAAGGCAAAATAAAAGCAGTATCAGTAGTGGTCTCAGACTTTTGGACCCACTGCTTATGATAGAATTAGAACATCAGAATCATCAGATGCCACATAATTTGTTTTGTTGTATTTGTAAAGTTGCAAACTTGATGTCTAACCACATAAATGCAGAGAAAGCATTCTTGTGGCCTGCTATCATGTACCACACTGGGCGGAACTGTTTTGTTTTGCCTCAGTGTGACATGCTGAAAACATGCGCTCAGGTAAATGGAATGTTATCTCGCTTTCTCTGATAGGAGACTGGCCGTCGTCGGGGTGTAGCAGCGCGCTTTTATTGTCGGACCTTGAGCGCGGTGTGCTGCTTGTTGGAGCCTCATAAATGACTCGGGAATTTATGAAGTGCACTGAATGAAAGTGTCTGACTCATCAGTTAGCTATGTCCTGTGTTTGCACTCGACTGTGCGCTTTGTTATTTTGCATTAGACCATGGGTCCTGAGTCTTTGACTTCATAGGGTTTGCTAGGGTTTCAAGAAAAGAACAGGAGACCTTTTTGCAATTCTTGTTTTACATCATTAAAAAAAAGCAGGCCATTGCACCATATTCATTCCGTTCCTTCCTAATCATTTTAAAGCGCAAATCTGAACAGCATGCTCTGGGATTGGGATTTTGAGCTTTTGAGTTCCCTTGGCTCTTGTCCATTTTAAGATCTCAGATACGCAGGCTTAAGCTCAGAGATTAATGTCGTCACCCATTCAGATGAGATGTCAATGAGTCTGGAGAATTATGGCATGAGAAAAAAATGAGTGTTTCTCACTAGCCGTGTTCTTTGTTGTGTTGCACACGTTTCTTTTCTCCAAGTTAAATTTAGAACAGGCCAGTGAAGGTCTCTCAGCACAGTTTCATTATTCATAACATGAAAAAGGAGCTAGTTCAGTTTCACCCTCTTTGAAAGTCTTGACTCGACAGGGGAAGGCAACAGCATGCGCTCACTTACTGCAGACAACTGTAAAATGATTTGAATGAAACTGCTTGCCTTGTGTGGAAGCATATGGGTAGCAAAATTCATTTTGGAATGTAATTTGCAAAATGGCAATGCAATATGTAAAATGGCAATGCATTTGTTTATTTAAATTTACATTTTGCCATACATATGTGCAACGTTTAGTACAAAACTAAAATGACACTACAACCTGCGATCCCGTCCGCGCCGTCTATTCCTCTAACGAAGACCCACTTTTTTTAAATTTATTTATTTATTTATTTATTTTTTAACGACCGCCTAAAATGAAATGATGATAGAGTGCGGCAAGCGGAATTCATTGAGGGATTTGACAGAGTGATTCATAGATTAAGTATTTCAAATATAGGCTATTATATATGCTACACGCACGCACAGAGGTTTTGTTCTAACATGCCCCAACATTCCTACGTCGCTCTGTGGGAAGATTTGCATAATGCTGCCCAAATGTTCACGCAAAGAAAGAAGGCGTAACTTTTATTCTTGCTGTAGTATTGTTACCGCCACCGCCATGCCGTGGAGACATTGTGTTTCTATGTGAAAGTGAAACTACTTTGTTTGGCCTTTCAAAAGAGGACTATATCTGCTTCCTCATACCTAGAGCTGATCCGTGCTGGTCGCTGAGGAAATACATCAACTTTGCACTGTAGATCGCCGGATCGGCTTCCACCGTGGACGAAGCGGAGTCCAGCCCGGGGTCATCACATGTGGTTGCCGCAAGCCCGCCGGCCGCGCCGTTCTCAAGCCCACCGGCCTCCGCTCACTCAGCCTGCCAGCCGTTCCTCACTCTAGCCGCCGGCCTCCGCTCACTCAGCCCGCCAGCCGTTCCTCACTCTAGCCGCCGACCTCCGCTCACTCTAGGCCACCGCCGTTCACTCTAGCCCACCATGTGTGACGCTGTGTTTCGTTGTGAAAGCGAAACTACTTTGTTTGGCCTTCCAAAAGAGGACACGACTAGAATTCAGTGGTTAAGTTGTATTTACAACACTGTTCCAGAACAGTTCAACCCAAATATTCC